GTCATCGAGTGGATGCTGACTCAGAGTGACTAGGACAGGGTAGAACCACCCTGGGGGGTTCTGAGACTGTAACTCTTTACAGGATTTGAAAGCCTTGTCTTTTTCCTGGGGACCAGCTGGGGGTTTTGCAATTAGCAGTCGGATGCCATCAGGGCTCCAACTTTGTACATAGGCATATACATGTTAAAAAGGTCTTCAAACAGTTCATGAGAATGGAATGAAAAGATGCTGGAATTGTCCCACGACCTTTTTGACGGCCTCATCTACCGTGTTTCGCGTGGATCAAGGCGTTGAAGAAAATGCTGCCCCTCAGAGAAAGCACACGTCAACCAACACATGTCAACCACCGCCGTGAAGGCAAGACCACGGACACTGCACGTGAAAAGCTCTATAAAACCTGAGCCCGGGACACCAAAGGCAGCCAGTCTCTCTTCCGAGAACTTTTGGTTAACAACCATACCCTGCCTGGAACGCTAAGGCAGGAATCTAGCGATTACTTTCCCCAAGACTCCCGTCGAAGACGAACATTCTAGTCCACAACTCCAGTGACCTAAAAATGCAAACGGGAAAATTCGTTGGGCAGAACAACAACAAAATAATGACGAGGGTGTCTAAGTCCACCAATCATTGTTAGGTATTGATAGTTTCCCTTTTCTGAAGAAGAAAGGGAAGGGAAAAGGGCTCCTGGCCGGCCAAGCCCAAGGGCAGGCCCAGAGGTCAACAAGGACTTAATGAACTCAGTATCCTCACCCCTATTTAATAATGGACGCTGTCCGTGCAGTTCCTTTTGAAAACACCATGCGAAGCTCTGGGTCCAATGACACATAGTGGCTGGAATGGGTAATAACGAGTCACAACCTAAATGCTACATTTTTACGAGACCAGGAACGCTGGTGGAGAGTAAAAGGCTGGCTAATGACTTGTTCCTATGGGATTTGATATAAACAGTAGAAAGGAAAACACCCTGCCTGCTGGGTCACCACCTAGAGGAAAGGCTATATAAGCACTTCAAAGACAAGCCAAGACGCTTGGTCCTTCCACTCAGTGCAGGTTGCTTGAGCTTTGAACCAGAGACTTTGACCCAGAGCCCAAGCTGGACACACATGATGGATACTGCGGGCTGTACAACTGCCTCTTCTTCAACACTACTCCCAAACTGCTCTAGGATTACAAATGTTAGGACCACCGCTTCCCACCACAGCTGCCAAGCCACTGGCCGGGTGCTGAGAAAGCCGCAGCCCCAGGGCTGCCAACCCAGTGCTGGCTTTTGTGGCACACCCATCTGCCGAACAGACACCTTCAGTGCCTGTCTCCCTCTGGATGGCCGCGGCTGGTGTGGCGACGGTCTCAACAGCTCGGAGAAAGAGACTATGCGAATCTTGAACCATCGCCTCGCCAAGTACCTGGAGAAGGTGCAGATGCTGGAGCGAGAGAACATGGAGCTAGAGTGGAAGATCCAGCAGGAGTGCAGCAAGGAGGTCCCTGTCGTGTGTCCCGAGTACCTGTCCTACTACACTGCCATCGAGGAGCTCCAGCAGAAGGTAAGGTGGCATGAAGCTCAGGAGCCTGTCTGAGCTCATGGTGGATGGATGGTTGCCAAGAAAGAGCCACTCGCTAAAGGTTGGTTGGTTAAGATGTGCGTTCGGGTGAGAAATACTTTGGGGGGGGGGGGGAATGATCTCTGGAGGAGAGGTGTTATCAGAGTGGCATCGCTCTTCGTGTGTCCAGATGGGCTCTTTCAGTCCACCCAGGTAACTCCGGGGCAAAAGGTGGCAATGTGTTCATAGCCTTTTCTTTCACGAAAAGAGGAAACAGGGGTCTGAGAACATGCGTTTTGTTGCACAAAGTTCCTACGCATTTTCGTTTCTGTTCATCCTGCACCCATCCCCACCCTCTTCTCCTGTTCGGCTTAGTCCATCGTGTCCAAGTGGTGGAATCGCTTCTCCCCGCACCAAAGCTAAATTTTCTATTCTGAGGGATAATTTGCTAGTAAATATACTCGGTTACGTTAACTATGCACTCAGTGCTAACAATAATTTACCAGGCATTGCTCTCAGCTCTAGGAAGATGTTGGTGAACTCTAAAAAGCCCCTTCTCTTGTGGGGTTTACAGTTGAGTGAGTTGTGCGAGGCTTTGAAACTTTAGGTGGGGGGATTGTATGTTTGAACAGAAAGCTATAGACTAACGTTTTTGAAGTTTTATTTGTTTGTTTTTTGGGGAGGGACTGATCTTTTAGGAAAAACACAAACATTCTGACTTTCCAAAGTAACTCAATTTTACTATGATAATTAATAATAAAAATAAATAAACAGGCAGGTTTCCCCTAGCCATGGAAACACACGGACCCTGGGTTCTTAAAGAAGATGCTGGTGTTGGTCTCATTTGTGTGTACAATTTCTTAATTCTAGATCTTGTGTACCAAGGCTGAGAATTCCAGGCTGGTCTCACAAATTGACAACACCAAACTGGCTGCTGATGACTTGAGAGCAAAGTAAGCTCACCTGACGCTGTCACGCGTGACAGGTGCACCCCAACCTCACGCTAGCCACTCTCAGTAAGAGGCCCCTCCCCCAGCTGCCCCCTATCAGGTTAGCACCCACCCAGAGCAAAGCCTCCAATCCAACAAATCACTAGGGTGAATAACAGCTTACACTGATGTAATACGTGTGGTTTCCAGGGTATGAAGCCATCTTGTTTCTTACCTGCAGGACGGTTCAAAGCATGTGAGGTGGGCTTCCGGCTCACGGGGATGGAAAGAAAAGACAGTGGAGTTTCCCCTCTCACTTTTTCCAGTCCCCTTGTATAGCTTTAAAAGGAGCCACAGTGGGGCAACAGCTAGGCACTTAACTGTTAATACAAAGGTCAGTGGTTCACACCTAATGGCTGCTCCAGAGGAGGAAAGAGCTGCTAACCCCAAGGTCAGCAGTTCAAAACCACCAGGGGCTCCACAGGAGAAAGACTGGGCTTTCTACTCCTGTAAGGAGTCACTGTCACAGACACTCACAGGGGCGGTCCTACTCTGTCCTATAAAGGTCACTATGAGTCGGCGCTGGCTCAGTGGCGGTGAGCTTGAGCTTCAGCTCCGCTCCCGTAAAAGATGACCCTCGGGAAACTCGATGGGGCAGTTCTGCTGACTCAGTCCGATAGGGTTGCTATGAGTCACAGTGGACTCAACCACATACAATAACAACAATACGTTGCTTCCGTGCACGGTGAGAAAATGTGAGCTGGATGAGGTTAGCCAAAGGCATACGAGTCGTCCAAAACAGAGCCAAATTTGGGATGTGAGCTTTCTCAGTCAGTGAGTGCTTTTCCCTTAGACAGCGCTGACTTTAAGGGCAGCAGCAGAAATGGCCTGGCCTCAAAAAATGAGCAACATCACAGCCCTCCGGAAAATGAATTACGAAGGATCATTAAGTGTCCATGCTTATCCCCTGATTTCCTCGTGATCGGGAATAACATCTACAATACAGAGTGAAAGACAGACCCAGAGAAAAAGGCAGATGGGAGTTCTGTTTGGCTTGCTTTCCCATCTATCTTATAAGCACAGGCCGTCTTTTCGTGTCTCCTTTGTAAAGGTATGAAGCAGAGGCGTCCCTACGCCAGCTGGTGGAGGCAGACGCCAAGGGCCTGCAGCAAATCCTAAATGCGCTGACCCTGGGCAAGACAGACCTGGAGGCCCGGATGGGGTCTCTGAAGGAGGAGCTCCTCATCCTCAAAGACAACCATCAAGGGGTGAGTCAAACCAAGGGAAACATCCTCAAGCAAAGCCTCTACTGATGGCGCTGAACTCGAACAAAGGGTGTCCCCTCCACCTACTGCTCTGGTTTGGAGCATTGACAACCACCACCACCACCACCCACCCACCCCTGCTGCTGCTACCACAAGCGTAATGTTTCCAACCCACCAACTACAACGCGATATCTAGAGCCAACAGGGGGGTGGGGGGCAGGTGTGGAGTCTCTGTGGGTTCCTGCTTTTCAGGGAGGAGGAAGCAACCTGTCTACCTTATGGTAGACATTTCTAGGCAGACGTCTGCCACCTCATATGAGTGCAAGTCAATATTGACACAAGTCCGTACTGGCATCCTAAAGAATATGGCCTCTTATTATAAAGCCTACCTCTTTCCTACTGTATCCATGACCCATCCCTAGAAATGACCTAAATGCTTTAAAACCTTAATTCCCTTTAGCTTCGCTCATATTTTAGCACAGTCATGTGTGAAATAACCTTAATTCATTGTATAGCTTCTCAATAATACCTGTATGTCATATAATTCCTTTATTGTGGGCTGTTTTTCAAACGCAATTTTATTGCTGCCAGCCTGACACAAGAACCCCAAAAGGTCGTATTTTCACTAAGGGGAATGACACTGTTTTTCTCCGTAGGAAATCCATTCCTTACAGAGTCAGCTTGGAGACCGATTCAACATTGAAGTGACCGCTGCCCCTTCGGTTGACCTGAACCAGGTTCTACAAGACATGAGATGTCAATATGAGTCTATTGTCGAGACAAACCACCGAGATGTAGAACAATGGTTCAACATGCAGGTGGGAACAGTCTAACAATCTAAAGCAGGAAAATAACATTGTATTTCTGGGAGCGATTTAATCGAAGCCATATTTGCCTGCCATAATAGCAAAGGCCCTTGACTGTGTTTCAGATGGAAGAGCTAAACCAACAAGTGGTGACCAGCTCGCAGCAGCAGCAGTGCTGCCAGAGAGAGCTCATTGAACTGAGGCGTGCCCTGAACACCCTGGAGATTGAGCTGCAGGCCCAACACCGAATGGTACCCAGCAAGCTGACCAAGCTTAGCTATGACAGTGACAGTGCCTGGCACTCCTATATTGCAATGTTCTTTAACTCTGCCCCTCAGAAATTCAGTTTCTCTGGTGTGGAAGGGTCTATCACACACACACACACACTAAAAAATACTGTGATCAAATATGTCTAGGGAACTACTGGTTTAAACATATCTCAGACAAGGCATCTTCCAGCAGGTCTGTAATAAGCTGATGTGCATCATCAATTTCCAAGCATTCCCAAAGTTGAAGGATGACACTTTGGGGGGAAGAGCATTTCATGGTAAAAATGATCCATGGAGCATACATTGGGAAATGTTGGGGGGAGGAGATGAACAGTTTTCACAAGCTATTACATTTACAAAACCATATTATGAACCAAGTGGTATAATTATGACACCCATTTGACAGAAAGAAAAGGTGGTTTTTCTCAAGGCAAATCCAACAGAAGGCTCATCTGTTTTATACATAGAGGCCTGGAGATCATGAGACTTGAAACAACTGGAGCCAAGTCACAAGAATAATAAGAGTCTGAGGCACAATTTAGATTCCAAAGCTGGTACTGCTTCGGCCTTATTATTCCGGCCTCCTCTGAAGTAGGACATCACTTAATGATTTTAAAAACTCAGGCCTGTTTTTGTCCTTAGCTAGTCATATGACCTTGGGCAACTCATTTAACCTCTTGGACTTCAGTTTTCTCATCTATAAAGATGCGGATGAGCACGCAAATAGTAGGGTTTGTAAAGCCTAACATCCACCACGATCCACAGATCCACAGATGTACAGACCGATAGAGCAACAATGAACTTTCATCATCAAAGTTTCAACTCTTGTATTTTCCATATAGAGTACTTGGTCCAGAAAGGAAAAATGTTTATGACTCAATATCGTTTGCTTCCTTTTTAAGGTACACTCATTGCATGGGGTGCCATGGTAACCCATTTTAATGCCTGGATGTGAAATGAGTTGCAATATTGTTTTTTTCCCCTCACAGGTAAGAGAGTGTGGTAGGAGATTATCACACGATTCAAAAAGAGGAAGACAAGGAAACACTTAAAGGAGGGCAAAAGAGGAGAAAAAGGAAAGTAAGCTTTAGCATAGATGGTCCTTTTACCCACAGAGGGGACTTGCTTAGGACAGCACACAGGGGCTTGGAAATCCATCAGCCCTTGCCGCTGAGAAACGACTGTTAAAAACCATACAGATCACAAGTGGCATACGCTGGCCATGAGCTGAACGAAGTCATCATGTTAAAGCCTACCTTTCCTCTTCCACGATAGAGAGACTCTCAGGAAGGCATCCTGGCGGAGACAGAGGCCCGCTACACCGCCCTCCTGGGCCAGATCCAAGGTCTGATCAACAGTCTGGAGGCACAGCTGACGGAGAGCCGGTGCGCCCTAGAAAGACAGAACCAAGAATATGAAATTCTTCTGGACATCAAATCCCGACTGGAGTGTGAGATCGCCACTTACCGCAGCCTCCTGGAGAGCTTGGATGGCAAGTACGTAACAGAAACACGCCTGGGGAAAAGGCTGTACCGTGTATACTCGAGTATAAGTCGAGGTTTTTAGCACATTTTTATGCAGTTTGGGCGGTAAAATTAGGTGCATCTGCTGATTTTCGGGTCAGTCCATATGCGGTATGTGCTTACACTGGCCAGAGGGGAACGAGTGCTTTCGTAATTGACGGGAGACCTGCAATTCTAACCCAGTCCATACTTCTTTTTGGTAATCATTTTATTAGGGGTTCATACAACTCTTACCACAATCCATACACACATCAATTGTTCCCAGTCCATACTTGAGGTGCGACTTGAACGGAGTCATTTGGGATGAGGGGCTTCCAGTTTTAAGTTACTAGGCAAAAATAACATGGTTTCACTCAAGATGAACGCTCCTGGCACTGTTGCGCATTTTGCCTCGATGAGATAAGAAGTCTCCCTTAATGAGCTCTAGCCAGACAACCCTGCTCCTATGGAAGAACAGTCTGCTCAAGTTCACGTCCCTGGCCCCCAACCCTGCCTAGCCATGTGTACTTGAGGCCAGTAGAAGCATGTCACCCGTGCGTTTCAGCATCTTTTTTTTTCCCACTTTTTATTGTGACTTGGGTAAGGTTTACAGACGAGAGCACCATTTTATATTCAACAATATAAACACAGATTGTTTCATCTCCTTGATTACAATCTTTTCCATGTAACGTCCCTTTATCCCTCTTCCTCCCTGTCTCCTTTTTTCCAGTCCTCCTCCTTTCCCAGCCATTCTGAACTTTGTCCTTGGGAAAGTGAGGCCCTTTGGATCTCACATGGTTGGTGACCCTAAGGAGTATGTACCTCCTTAGGGTTACTGATCCTGTTATAAAGCTATTGTTTGACTGGAAATTGAGCCACAGGGCTGAGTTCAGTTCCAAACGTGAAGGGTCACAAAGGGTCATCGTTTTAAGGGTTCTACAGTCTCTACCTGACCAGTAAGACTAGTCTTTTCATAGTTTTGAGGTTTGTTCCATACTACCTAGGCCCTTTGAAGGTGATGCCTTTCAGAACAGTTAGTAGTGGTAGCTAGGTCCCATCTAGTTCTTCTGGTCTCAGGATCATAGAGACTGATGTGGCCATGGTCCATTAGTCCCTTGAACTCAGTGTCTCCATGTGTCTGGACAAGAAGAGACCAATAGATACACCTTAAGTAGCTGCTCATGTGTTTTTAAGACCCCAGTCACTACTAACCAAAGTAGGGTGCATAGCACCGTCTTTGCCAACTCTGCTATCCCAATTGACCTTGGTTTCCCCTGATACAATGGACCTGAGTCCCTGACCCAGGAACTCATTCCCTTAAGGAAAGCCTTTGTAACTTTACACCCTGTATGCTCCACCACCCGATCTTTTTTTCAAGTAGAAGTTGTAGTACTCTTTAGAAGCTAACAAACTCATGAAGAATTATCCTGTAGCACAAGTTCTCTAAAGCAATTCACTTTAAAACTATTACCCCAAACACAGACTTGGTTAGAAATGATAAGGGACCTTCTTCCCTCAAATAATCAATGAACTCTGTTCAGAGCATTCTCTTAACTGGTAAGTCCACTAGCACAATGTCAAGCAATGTCATAAGTTTGAAGAAGGAGATTAACTGAAGTGCGTACGATACTCAAAGAAAGATGATGCTTTATAAAAGAGTTTTACTTTTCACTGTTTCTTACTCTAATTCTCTTAACGTCTTCATTGATAGACCACCCAGAACACACTTGGTGCATTATTCATGAAGCATATTGTGGCTACCTCCCTCTCTTCTAAGAAAAAGATCTAAATAACAGTATCAAAATAATTACAGTCTGGGGGAGAGGGGTGGGGGGGAAAGGATCTGGTTATCTTCCATTCTTCATAAGATAATCGGATGTACTTCCTCCTCATCACTGTGGAGCCTCGAGTGCTTGCACAGACCTGTGAGTCCCGTGGTTGTCGTGTCCATTCAGCAGATAAGACAAGAAGCTCCGGAGGACTCGCTGACTTACCTGAGGTCCCCAGCAGGGTCCTGGCATGACCTTTCTCCCACCAACAATAGGAAAGTTACTCTAATGGAAGCTTAGATAACCTCAGCTACTTCTAAACCTAGGATGCCGCTTCCCAAGGGTTCTGGTCCGAGGCTTATCTCCCCGTCTGTTAGCCGAAAGGTTGGCAATTCCAACTTACCCAGAAGTACCTGGGAAAATGAGCTGAGAAAATCAGCTTCCAAAATCATCCATCTTGAAAAACTCTACCGAGCTGGTCTACTCGGCCCACTTGGTCACCATATACCTGACCGACTCCCTGGCAACTACTGACAGCTACAACTACAGTACAAAGTGAACGAAAAAGCATTTGGAGAATCTTGGTTTGACGGACATGTTGAAAAACTAACCACTGCTGTTTTTCTCCACGGCGCTTGTTGCCCTCCACCAATCACAGGTACATTTCTGCTTTTCCCCTAGGCTTCCCTGTAACCTGTGTGCCACCAAACGTGACCCTTCCACTGGCACATCCTGGAAGGCCAGGGCCATGGAAGGCATGGTGCCAGTGTCTGCATCATGCAGCTGCTGTGCGTCCCTTGCCCGCCATGGATTCCATGAGCCCTGCAGTGTCTGTAGATCCCTGCCGCGGATCCTAGTGAAGATATGCACGACCACCAAGGAGATTAAGGATGGGAAGGTCATTTCATCCCACGAGCACGTGCAGCCTTGCTACATCACCAGAGCTGCTAAAGTCTAGCATTCCCGGGTGATGCAAATGGCCCACATTCATGAAACAGAAGCCAACACATGTCCCTGCCCTGAAGGTCAAGTATTCCCCGTTCTGCTGAAGGTACTTAGATTCCCCTCGCCCCAGCAGGTCCCAGTTGCTAGACGGAGTAACATCTATTCCACCCCTTCACTCAGTCGCTGCTGCCAACATAACAATAGACGGCATTTCCCCGGAAGTGCCTTTTGCTTTTAATCTCAAGGATGGAAACTGCTTTGCTACGTGTCCCGGAAGTCAGCCTACGCTTGGCTCGATGGGTGACTCGGAGGCTGCCCGCTTGTTCACTCAGGTCTTGTTGACTTATGTTCCTCACGAGAGCCAGTTAGACAAGTTCTAGGATTGTTTGGGGCGACGTAGGGCACACGAAGGTGAAAAGCTACAACCTTCCCTTCTAAATTCTCTCTTCAAATAAAGAAAGAACGCCTTTATAGAAACTAATCTTCACTGCTATTGAGTGAATGCATAATGATCCTATGCAACTGGGTAGAATTGTCCCTGTGGGTTCCCAACGCTGTAACTCTTCACAGGAGTAGAAAGTCTCGTCTTTCTCCCGCAGCCTGGCAATAATACAGGGAAGGATATTCAATACCGAGCTCCTTTGAACAGAGAACCACACATCTAAACCCTGTTGCACTCTGTTGATGATTTCTCCATACAAATATACAACCTTGCCAAGATCTATTTTAAGATGTCTACAGTCTCCAAAGCTGTGAGCTATTCAGATATGTCCAGTGTCAAGTCCCAGGGACTAGCCTGGATCCTTTCATTAGATAGTCCCTATTTCTCTCTATTCTCCATGGAAGGGGACTTTGTTCTGTGTTCTGTTTAATAAGGGACTTGTTGCTGGAATTTTTGAGACAGAATTCCTGTTCCTCTGTCTCCCTGGGCTGAGTGACAATGGATGAATAGCTTAGAGTCCTGCTTCAATCTATCCATCAGAGAGAAGTGGACTTACTGGCCACCAGATTTGCAGGGAATCATAAGAAAGTGCTGCTTGTAAGAGTGAGGCCGTGCCGGGGTGATAAGGTATCACTTGGGCACCAGCCTTGATCACAGCGTCGGACAGTTCAGTCAGAGGATATTTAAGTCATTCCCTACCAAAATTCTTTCACGCTTGCAAGGGTTTTAATCAATAATTCCAAATAGAATGCAGAATATGGAATTCAAAAGCCCCAAGTCCTATCTTAACCACTGCCTGTGACCATGGACAAAACACCTAGCCTTCATCCAATCCAACTTCCTAGCGTGTGAAATGAGGATCCTGCCTACTTCACAAGGTGGTGGCAAAGATCAAGGGAAAATGTTTATGTAATACTACTTTATACGATGAAAAGAAGTACAGAAAAATTATTTTGACGTAAGGTGTACTTTGGACTCCAACTCTGCACAGAGGTCTGTCATTGTTGTCTCAGGTTCAAATGACTCCTCACTACCTTAGTCATCTAGTGATGACCTTGGGGTTTGAATGATGGTTAGCTTGTAAGAAAAACTGAACAAGATGTCCTATTATCAAACCCACAATTCTTCTCAATGAAGTTGGGTTTGAGTTTGGGTTTTCAGTCTTGGAGCATGTAGAGATCAGCAATCCCTAGTGCCCACATCAAAGACATATGAACTATCTAATGGCTCCACAATTCACTTCCTACAGACAAGGGGCAACTTACACAAAGCAAGCGTGATTCAGAACTCCCTCAATTCTTTCTGTCCTGGCAATAATTCCGCTCATGTGAACCCTCAGAGGACCTCTGGTCATTTCATTTAGCACTTAATCGCCTGACATCTCGAGCTGTGGAATGACGATGTGGAAAGAGCATGGGACTTGGGTTCAGAAACCCTGGGATGGAGTTTCAATCCCCTTGCGTGCAAAGGGGTTTGGCCCTCCCATTGAAAGCAGGTATATATCATTTCCTCCCATACTTTCTTCCATATGCTGAGTCAGTGCTGGGCACGGAGTGGACTGTAATGGTTGCCATCCATACCAACTAAGAACAGATGGCGAGAGGTCAGAGGGGCTTGGTCTGCTCTGAGCTTCTGATTCCCACAAGATTCCAGGTTTCAGAACCTCACGGGATTCAGGCTAGGCTCGTTCATGCTGAGTTCCATCTCCAGCAATGCTATGCTCGATGTATCTCAGAAATCCCGCATGCCTTCCTAAGTGAAAATACGTTACTGTAAAATTGCCTCGTAAAGAGGTTTTCCCACCCAATAGCTTGAATGAAATATTTTTTTCTGTATGAAAAGAAGAAAAAAAGACCCTAAGTCATGACCATAAACTGTCAAGAAAACAAACGAAACTGTGGTGGGAAAAGTACAGCCAGAATGCTCCTTAGGAGTGAGGACGGCGAGAGTTCATCCCACATACTTTGACATGTCATCAGGAGAGACAAGGCCCCGGGAAAAGGCATCCCACTTGGTAAAATGGAGGGGCAGGGAAAAGGACATCAACAAGATGGGTGTCACCCCTGGGAAGGTGGCACAGGCCTGGGCAGGGTTCCCTCCTGTTGCACACAGAGTCACTATGAGTCGAAACCAACTCAACGGCTCTCCGCAGCCATCAAGTTGATTCCGACCCATCCTATGGGACGGAGCAGAACTGCTCCCTAGGGTGTCTGGGGCTACCAGTCTTCATGGGGCCACACCGCGTCATCGTTCTCCCGCAGAGTGCCTGGGAGGTTGAAACCACTGACCTTTCGGTTACCTGCTGGGCCCCTAACCCGCTGCACCATGAGGGTACCTGTCTGTATAAAAAGGAGCGAGAAGCTCTCTGCTGAATGTTGTCCACAGGTGGCCAATGTTTGAAAAGTAGTAGGTAGACCCAGCAAAGTAAGCCCACTGTGAGTCAATTCTAACTCATGCTACCCTAAAGTGTTTCCCAGACGGCCCGTCTTTACTGGGGCAGACAGCCTCGTCCTCCTCCCCCAGAGAGGACAGTGAACGTGCCAACAAGTGGCTAATCCAGTGTCACCAGGGCTCCTGGGATGGCAGTAAGGAGCCTGGATTTTCACCAGGAAGCTGCCTATGTATCTTCTGCAGCCACAGGAGGGAGTTCAAGTGTCTTTTTACAAAGTGCAGCGTGGGCCAGCAGCTAGCGTAGAAGGGGGATTCGAGTAGGGGAAAAGGGAGGTTCTTCTCAAAAGAGGAGAAGACGGACAGTGGGAAAAGTTGAATGACTCACACAAAGCCACACAGTAATAAGTAATAAGACGGGATTCCTTTAAGTACCTTCCTGAGTTCCTTCGGGAGTTGAGAGCCTCCCCTGACACATTACATAACCAGTCTCAAAGAACAGAAATCATTCACAACAGCCACAGGAGGCTTTTCAACTCCTCAAGCCTGTCTCCAGTGGTCCAGTCGGGTTGGCTGTACTTCCTGGTGTCACCTCCCCTCGCCCCCATGGACCTCACCCTGAACCAGACCACACAGGTTCCTTAGTAATGCTTACTATCAACTTTGATCACAGAGTAAAGTGTGAGTAATATTGTGGTAAATTGTTTACATGTAATACCCCTTACATTAGATGAATACTAACAAGAAAATGTTACGTAAACTCTTTCTACATTGAATTACAAAGTTGTTAGTAGTAACTTTATTAGTAACTAAGCAGAAGTCTTGGATTCTCACCTTCTTGTCCTTTAATAACTCCAAACTCACCGCCAACGATTCAATGCCTGCTCATAGTGACCCTCCAGGACAGGGTAGAACTGTCCTTGTGCGTTTCTGAGACCGAAGCTCTCAATGGGAGTAGAAAGCCCTGTCTTCCTCCTACAGAGCCTCTGGTGGTTTTGAACCGCTGACCTTCCAGTTAGCAGCCCAACTCATAACTACTGTGCCACCAGGGCTTCTACAAAATGTCATTGATATAGGTTCAAACATACTGCTTACCACAATATGGTAGCCAAAGCACCAGAAAATTGCAGCAACATCAGCAACTATAAAAACACCACAGCAGTGAATGAAAACAACAGCACAGGCTTGTAGCACATGCAGACATACCACAGATGCAAAGCATCTTTAGAACAGGTCAAGGATGCCAGCTTTGATCAGCGTGCATTACAAGGCTTGAAAAGTAACTGCAGAGACTTTCCGTCTCTGAAATATGAGGGTAGGTCAAAGAGTATTGCTACTGGGGATCCACTTCATACATGCAGGGGTTTGTCCCACACAAAACATGTTTACATGAGTCTCTGTGATCCACGAAAGGCAGCCAACAAAATCGTGCCTTAATAAATATGCTGGTCTGAATCATATTAGGTTGCCTTCAAAAAATGATCCTTTTGACAGCATTGAATCTGCAGCTCTGATCAGAGCACATGGGAGCAGATGAACGGGGAGGAGGAGAGAGTGGAGCACATTGTGGCCCACCAGGCCGTGAGGATAATGTTCCCAATTAGAGCCGCCAGTCGAGAGAGAGGACCACATGGCCGCCCCACTATGAGACATGAC